TGTTTGATTATAAATTCAATAGTTCAAGAGGATCTTTTCTTGGATTAAAAAACTTCTAAGGATCAGTACATATCTATTATTCAAATTTGGTAAATCTTAAAAGTAAGAATTAATTTAATTAATTTAATGATAGGTTTTGCTAATAACACTCTTATGGAAGAATATTTAACAGAAAATTATCCTGAAATACATAATAACTTCACAGGACAAAGAGTTCCTTTAATTGGTATTGATTAAGAATCTAGCTATATTTCTGGTTTAACTATAGAATTAGCTAACCTTTAAAATAATTACTTTTAAAGTACAGATAGCAAAGAAGCAAGTTTTTTCTTTAATCAAAAGTAAATAAGATTTGTTAATTAATATTCTTAATAGCAAAAACAGAATGATAGATTTTAAAATATTGAATGTGAGTTTAAACAACACATAATGTAATTGCAACAAATATCAATCATTATTTTCAATATGGACTTAAAATATTTAACTCTAAAATGTTGTAATTTAAAACATGAACAATGAAATAGCACCTTCTCTTGATCCTGAAGACGTCAATTAATACTCAAAAATATTTTAGATTACTCTTGAATCTCTGGCTAAAGATTATATTAGGTTCTTTGATTAATGCACTTTCAAGAATATATTTGGAAATAGTGGTGCAGTCTTAGAAATTACTTTTAAGAATTCATAGCAGAAAATTGAAATCTTCAATTCAACATTTCAAAATATTCAAGTATAAGATAAAGGAATAATTAATGTTATTAAAGGTTAATAAGCAATGATTAGATTTATAAATAGCACATTTTTAAAAACATCTACCAAAACAAAAGGTGGAATAATATCATTTGATATATTAGATTTACCAGAAAGTGACAAATTAAGCAGTATTTAAAAAATAGACATAGAAGACTGTTTTTTCATCAATAATTACAAAACTAGAGAATAAATGGGAGATTATTTCTATTTTTTGAGTATAGGTTATTTGATATATATAAATCAAGATCAAAACATCAAATTAAATATTACAAACTCAGTAATTTCTTAATTAGGAAAAGGTTTAGAGTTTGATTTTAATTAGACCTATATAGCAAATTAAATTGGTGAGGCTCAGTATTATTAAGAAAAATAATTAAATGATGGTTATGGAACTGCAATTGTCCTAGAATCTAGTATTAAAAATTTGAGTGGAAATTCTATTGTTTACTCTCAAGGAAATTTGTTTGAAGGGTGTAGATATGGATATAAAGGAGCGGTTTTCCTAATAAATTCATTCAATTAATCATAATTCACTGACATTGAATCTAATTTTACACATAATTAAGCGATGTATGGCAGTGCTATTTATTGTTTAAATTGTGCCTTATTAAATCTTACGAACTCAAGGTTTTTATATAACTAAGCAATCAAAGGAGGTTCAATATTTCTTGAATACCTTCGATATTTTACTAATTAAGAAGTCAGGTTATATTAAAGTATGTAGGATGTTCAGGTAGAAAATATCGCTTCATTTGAAAGTGGTGGATTTTAATATTTCTCTGGCAACAACTTTAACAGTTCTAACTCTTTCTTAAGATGCAGGTTTAAAAATATCAGATCTTCTATAAATAGTATTTAAAATTCATTAGATTATTAGCCATCTCTTAATAAATTCTATGGCGGAGGTGTATTCTTGTTTTCAGTAAAAAAACTAGATCTTACTATCAATGAATCCTTTTTTGAAAATATAGAAGCTTAACAATTGGGGGGAGTACTTTTATTGGATTGTAACCATTTTTCAAAGTTTATTTTGCAAAACAACAGTTTTAAAAATATCTAAGGAAAAAACCAGGGTGCAGTTATTTATTCTTATGCCTAAAACTATTAATCAGCAGAATTATTTGACAACAGAATTGATTGCCATCCCTATGCTTAAATATTAGAAGATTAGAATAAATTTATGATGGGTGAGGAAAGAATGGGAAACAGTTAAGTAGGCTTACATATTTTCTACTTTGAAAGTAAAAATTAATCCACTCTCTAATCAAAAAATAACAAAGTTAAAAACTGCATCAATTAATACTCTGAAGTAACAGGAAATTAATAAAGGTATATCGTTAGTGGTGGGGTTTATATGCTGCACACAAATATTAATATGACTGATTTTAATAGTACATACAATGATAATGCAGCTTATTATGGAGGAATTTACTATTGCGAGTCATGCAGTCTATTTTTAGTGAAAAATGTTTATAAAGACAATCTATGCTATTTTGGTTGTGTAATTTTCTCTAATCATCCAATAGAGATTTCTATTAAAGATAGTAATTTCAGCGACAACATTCCAAATATGGCTGGTGGGTTTATATACGCAGAAGGATCAACGTTGATCCCAGCACAAATCTATGTAGATAATTGTCTGATTATAACTGATTTGAAGAAGTAATTTGCATATCAAGAGAATATGATCTTAGTTCTAAAGTAAGGGATAGTTATTGATCTTTACCTTGTTGACAATTTCATTCTTAAATCAACAAATTTCTCTTTCATTAACAGCCTTCAAATTGCAGCCTCTTCCAACTTCTCATCTTAGGCATTAGCACTTCAAGCAACTCAGCTATAAAGCATTTAAATTGAGAATTGCAAATTCGTTGGAGATTAAAATCATAAAGAATTAAGATTGTTTGATTCAATAAAAGATGGTAAATTTTCCGAATCCTATGGCTCATTGATGTATTTCGAGATTATTTCTAAATCTGTAATATTTGTTAATAACACATTTGTGAATTTTCAAATAATGAATTATTTGGTGCAAATGGAATTTGTTTAAAATTTCACAGACATTAATTCTTCATATCAAAATAATACTGCAAAATATGGAGGGGCCTATAGTTTCTATAATGTTAATATCACATCAATCTTTAATGCTAAATTCTTTGATAATCTTGTTTAATATGGAGGTGCAATAGAGATTTTGGATAATTCTAATGTTGATATTCATAATAGTATTTTCTAAAATAATTTTGCAACAATACAGGCTGGAGCTATACAAATAAAACGATAAACCTCTAGTGAATTTCCTAGTTCTAATGTTTAAATATTCAATAGTCTGTTCTAAAATAACTCAGGATTTTTTTAAGGTGGAACATTTAATATAGATGATAATTCTTTGTCCTTTTTGCTTCAAGACTCTGTGATTATTGATTCTAAAGCTTGTGTAAATTAATCAGAATACAAAGGGACTGGTGGTTCTATATTCATTTCATTAGCTAAAACTGTAATACTAAGAAATATATCTATAACAAATTCTTTGGCTTATGATGGTTAAATAATGAAATCATAAAGTTAAAACGTAATGATTGAAATTTATGATAGTGTCATTAAATGCCAGTAAAATTACGATTACAAGGATATTTAAAAAATGCTAAAAAGTCAATCCTTTAATTATACAAATGCTTTTGCTATCGAGAATAGTAGATATTTAAAGTCAACTAATAATAAATTTTATAATTGTTATAACAGTTTTGCTGGTGGAGTATTTAGTTTATTCAATACAAAAGCTTTTTTCAATTAATCTACTTTTTACAGTATTTTTTAAGTTTTTAATTTTTATTTAGACAATAGTGCAATGTAAGGTGGAGCATTTTAGATGTCATAAGCAAATCTTTCATTATATGATTGTACCTTAAGATATAATTTAGCATTTCAAGGAGGTGCTATCTCAATAGATAGTATTTCTTATCTTGAAGCTATTAACACCAGATTTATTGAGAATACAGCTTTATAAAAAGGTGGAGCTATTACACTAGTTACAAGCTCTTATTTTAGTATTATTAATTGCATTTTTAGCTACAATTACGCTCCCTAAATTTCAGCTATTAGTGTCTTAGAATCTAATATGGTAATATTTCCTTAATTAACTTTGAAAATAGAATTAAGATTTGCTCATATAAGGATCTACATTCCAATATAATAATGCTGAAAGCAATACAATTCAATTCATGTATGCTTATAATGTCCTCATTTAAGAATCAAAATTTATAAAGAACTTTGCAATTAAGAATTCCAAAAACATATTTGTGGGATTCTCAAATATTACTATCATTGATACAACATTTCAAGATGATGCTAAGTAAGTGAAAATTGCTTTTATAATGTTTTCTTAAGGAGCATCAATGAGCAAAAATACAAGGTTATCTTGGGACGTATTCAAGGTGCTTTCATTCATATAATTATGAACTCAACAGTCAACTTGTTTCGCTCATAATTTAATTACGGATTCGCAAAGTATGGAGGTTCTATCTTTATGTCAGGAGGTAAATATCTTAAGTAAAAAACTTATAGATTCTCTTTTAAACATTAAAAAATCAAGCTTTATGAATTCATTTGCAAATGAGTCTGGTGGAGCAATATTAGCATAAAGCTTCGGATAAATTAATATAAATGAGACAATCTTTAGCTAATGTATTTCTTATGGGTACGGAGGTGATATATATGCTACTTCTTCTACTTTAGGAATTCAAATGAATAATTCTATCATTACTAATTATGAATCAGCTACATCATTATCTTTCGAATACTTGAATTTCATTTCATATAATCTCACAATAAATAGTAACATTTACATTTATTGTTATTAATTTAGGAAAATCGATATTAGACTAATATACAGAAGGAGGTGGAGCCATTGTATGTAACGATTGCAGATAATTTTCAGCAAAAATGCTGAGAATTTTCAATTCAACTGCTTAATCAGGTGGAGGATTGTACCTTGTTTAAACAGATGGAATAAAAAATAAATAAAAGAAAGATAATTTACTTTAAGTCTATATGGTAATTATAATATTTTTATGCTTCTTTAGATAACTGATTCACTTTTCTATAACTGTTAAGCAGCAATTTCAAACGGAGCAGCAATTTTTCTCTCCAACATATACCAGATTAACTTTAAAGATAATACTTTCGTCAGCAACTATGCTGTGAGAAATGGTGGAGGAATATATACTGAGTGCTCTGAATCTTTAATTTGCAACTTGTATTATCTTTAAAAGTTTTGATTTTTTCAATTAGTTTATCATTTTCAGGGTTTTAAAATTTCACCTCAAATTTTGTTGATAACTCAGGTGGAGCAATTTTTTGGAATGACATTGAACCTATTATGAATAAAGATGCTTAAATGATATTTTAAAATAATAAAGCAGGAATATATGCTGATAATATAGCAAGCTATCCCTAAAAATTAATCAAAATTTCAGAAGAATAGTATAATAAACAAGTCTTGAGAACTAATGATACAGATTCAAGAATGTTAATAATCAGTGATTAGTTAGTTTCAGATTAAAACAGCATATCTTAAAGTCATTTTAGAAGTGGAGATACAATTCCTTAAATTTATCTGGCCTTAGCTGATAAATATGGATAGATTGTAGGAACATAAAGTGATAAAAAATTGTAAATTTCTATAATTGGGAAAAAATTAAATTCATCTTCCTAAACTTAAGAACTCTACTCTCCTGTTATAGCGGGTAAAATGACATTTTATTCAGAAAACGGTGTTTATAATCTTGAAGGAGTTCAATTCACTGGATCAC